GAATCGAATACCATGTCCCCCTGGGAAGACGCACGGCGGGGGGCGATGCTTTGTAGCTGGAGTCTATTTGCCTTGGGGAAATAGCTGTCCCCAGGCGGGAGAGCCTCTGGCAGGAGGTGATGCCTCTTGGATGGGATTGCTGGCCGGTGGGAGCCAAGCCTGGTCGGCTCGTGGTGCGGCACAGCGCTCGTTCCGCCGGGGAGCCTGTGGGCACCCTTGTCCCGGTCGCCCGCACAGAGATGCTGGAAGCAGCCATGCGGGGAGTGCGGAGCTGTGGCTCAGGGAATAGGACTGTCACATCTCTGTGCTCAGAGGGAGCACTGCAACCATTTCTGCAGGTTTCTGCTACTTCCCCCCACCCTCAACCCCCCTTCTTTTTTTTTTTTTTTTTTTTTTTTTTCAGTGAAAAGCAACATTGCCGTGACTTGAAGATCAAGCTTTGGGCAACTCATCAGCAGATGTTTTGCTTAGGTTGCCTAAAAATGAAAAATACCAACGTTGATGCCCTGTGGCAGAGACCTGCAGGAGTGGCCTGATGTCCTCGGCCGCTTCGGCAGGGTGCTGCTCCTTCCCTGGCACGGGGGCAGCCGGGTGCCTGCACCCCAGCAGCCACGGCAGGGCCGTCCCTGTCCCCAGCACGCAGGGCTGCGGGAGGAAGCGGGGCTGTTGGCAGGACATTCGCCACCAAAGGTTGCCAGGGCTGGAGAGCTGTGCTGCCTTGTCTGTCCAAGCACGGATCTGTTGACCTTCAGCACGCTGCTCAGCTTGTGTTTTGTTGCTGGAGAGCGGTTCTGGCTGGGCTGCGCATGGTCGTTTAAGCATTAATCCTTTTATAATCTTCAAAGAACTCATCCTTTGAAGGCAGTGAGGGCAGGTGCGATGGACACCCTCCCCCTGACCTCACTGGGAGGCCAGCGAGGTCTCCTGGCTTCCACTGGTCGCTGGGAAAGGTTTTGTCCTCTCCCAATCACCACAAGACCAGCTCTCAAAATGTCTCGTTCAGCTTTTCCAGCGACAGTCTGTGTTAGCCTTTGGATACCCTGCAGAGGGTTTAGGGATCGTTTGTTAAGGTGTCCCGGTAACCTGAATTATGCATTAGCCGTGCCCTTGGGCGACGTGCTTTATTGTTAACCACTTACCATAAAATTGCCCTCAGACAAGCTCAGTTAATGTACGTTGCAAAATGCATCTGAGATGGGTAGTACGGTCGCAAATGCTTTAAGAGCCATAGGTGAAGAAATGAGGGGGGGTGGGCAGAAAACATGCTGTATCAACTTATGAGGGGGGGTCTCTTCCCCCTGAGCAGACTGGCTTTCTTGACATCCCCTTCTCTGAAATTCTGTCTCTCGTACTGTGCAAGTCTGATGGAGACTGTATAGCTGCTCTTTCCAAGAGTCCTCCAGAATACCCAGTCAGGTTTATTTTTTCTCTGGAAGGCTATTTCTGGTTTATTCAGAAGGGAGCCTTGCCCCTTCTAATTAAATAAGCAGCATGTCACTTCCTGGGAGACGCAGAAGGTACTTTGCTAGACCAGGCATCGTCTTTTGCATTTTATCAACAACACTCTGCTGCAGTGATGAGCAAAGCCCTTCTTTTTGACCCAGTAGACAATTGAGTTATCTCCTCTGCCCAGTCAACCTGGTATTTTCTAATTGAATAGCAAATGTAAACGGAAAGCAAGTCTGGAAAAAAATATGTGCAGCTCAGTATGAGTAGTGGCGTTTGAGGGAACGCAGACATGGTAGTCATCAACTCTTCTGGAGGGATAATGACCCTGGGTGGACTAAACCCCCAAACCTTCCTTCCTGAGACACCGTAAGAGTGGGATGGTTGTTCCTTGGGAACTTTGTCTGCAGGTGGGCATGCTCTCTGGTTACGTTTACCTGGAGCTAAAGGACCTGAACCGTCATTTGGAGGCAAGGTCATGATACAGTTCTCACTGGGGTTAATTTTGCTTAACCCAAGGTACCAGGATGCCGTGGAAGGAGCTGGATGCTCTACATGATGAGCATGGACACCTGAGCTGTCGGATGAGCTGACGACACAACGGTGGCCACAGAAGCAAGTGCACCGATGACTGAGAGAAGCTCTTGAGGAAACTATTTCTTGTCTTTGAGTTGGTCTGTGCATATTTGCTGCTGCTGGGACATACCACAGTGTCAGTAGTGAGGGCTGAACAGTTTGAGTTTGCTGTGAGACCTCTGTTTGGAGGATTAAGCCTGGTGTTTCAGTGGCTACCTCTCTGAACTACATCTGCCAAAACATGATCTCAGGTGTCCTCGAATGAAGAATCTGGTGCTTGTCAGGACGGAATGAGGTGCCACGATGCCAATAGGAGATGGATAAAGTTAATTCAGGGTGAGTCAGGCCTGGTTTTGCTACACAGGGGTCCTTGAACCGGGAATGCTGCTGACTCCATGTGTTCTCAGGACTAGGAGGGCAGCTATGTCCCTCCCAATGCGGGAAGCTAGCTGGCAGGTAGGATGCGTCCATAGAGAGGCAGGACGATTTCTTCCACATGTAAACTCATTTTATTTGGCTGAGGAGCAGAAGGTAAGCGCTGCCTGGAGCTGCCCCTTCCTTGCCTTACACTGTGGGCAGCGATGCTGTTCATGGGCTGGCAAGCAAATGCAGGGGTTTGCTCTATCGAGCTGGCACTGACGGCATTCTCCCTTACCACATCTTCCCGCCTTCCTCGAGGGCCACAGCTTCTCTCAGGCTGGCTGCATTGCTGCCATTCCCATCCACAATGCCAAAACCAGGGCCGTGTCCTTGTCCCCTGCCCGCCCTGCTGCGGGGGGCAGCTGGGGCGCTGGCTGAGGCACGCCACACCAGCCAAGTACAGGCTGCCTGTGCTCGCTGCCACCCGCCCAGCCCGTGGGACAACTCCAAAACACCAAATCGTTTTTTGCGCCGGCCAAACCTTCACGCTTTGCCAGGTATTTTGCTACTAGCTTGGAAGAGCTGGTTGGCCGGTTCCCCGGGTCGAAGCCCCCAGGCGTGCTAGCATGCTGCTTCCCCAGCAGCCTGGTAATGCATCGAGAGGAACCAGACGCCCTCTTGGTCCCCGTTGCCCTTCCAAAAGGCAGTAGAAGATGAACCTGACAGCCTGTCACTCCAACACAGACACTGTGTCCGGCTGGAATGAGCATCCTGGGGTTGCCATGGAGATGGGCATCTCTAACTTTTCAGAGACCTGGCAGGATGCCGGGGCATCCTAAGCAACATTGGCAGTGCTGAAATAGATCCCTTCTGCTCCAGGAGACCAAAAAGTAGTCAGGAAAGACTTCTCACTCGGGAGGGAATGAGCTCACCTGTGGAGCTGGGCTGTCTGTCTTGTCCAGTTGCTGCTCCCACCTCCACATGAGCTGTTGGAAATAGGAGATGTTATTAGACTCTTTCCTCGAGCAGCTGACCAAAAACCACATTATGCTTTTCGTTCTGCTTGCCTAGTTTCAGGAAGCTGAGTGCCGAATGGCACGACGCTGCGGGTCTAGTGAGATGCACAGCACTTCGTTCAGAGAAGGAGAAAGTCGTTTTGATAAAGAAATGGAAAAAAAGGGAGGAAACCACAGTCAGATGCACAGCACATCAGCCTGAGTATTGGAGCCCCAAAGGGTTAAAGCAACGCAGAAAGCCCAAGAGGATCCCTCAGGATAGCTCCCGAGCAGACTCAAGTAATGAATTTTCACTTCTGCACTTTCATTATCATTGTTCTTAGCTGGAGATTTACTATTTGTCCCCCTTAGCTCTGCGGCACATTATTCGTGTCATTGAGACTGTTGCAAGGACAGTGCTGTTCGCTCGGCTTTCCTCTTGGAAACCTGACGGGCTCAACTCCTGCGGGCCCCTGCTAAGCCTGAGCTTCAGGGGAGGAGAAGTGTGCACGCACCGTTACCCCAGGAACGATGCTCTGCTTTGCCTTCTCTCTCCCGCCGGCTCCTTCAGATTGCCCAGAGAAGTCCCAGGTTTACCACAGTGCTGAAACAGCCACTGTGCTCAGCAAAGCCCGTAATTTGGTTCCTTTGAAGATGGGCTGGCGACTACCAACCGCCCCCCCTTCCCTGTTAATCCAGCCAAGCACACGTACCACGATTAAAGGCAAGAGTAGATGTGCTTAGGTTCATTGCAGCCAAACTGCATTGCTAGCAAGAGTAGTCTTTTTTTTTTTTTTTTTTCCAGAAATATTTTGTTACATCATGTAAAATACCGACATCCTTCCAGAGAGGTAAAAGAAAAGCAAATTCAAAAGTGAGCTGCAACACTCTACTGGAACACAAGTAGCAAAGCTTTGTGGTACCACAGCATTGTTTCCAAATAAAATACTTCTTTTAATCATTCATGCTATTTATTAGTCCCCTGGAAATTAGGGAACTGGGGTGAGGACACTGGTAATTTGTGTGTCACATCCTGATACAGCATCACTTGGAGTTTATTCCTCCTGTTTGGTAAGATTGGACCAAACTATTTTATTTTTTCCCAAGACCCCCAGAAAGTGGAAAAGCAGGAGAGGTAAGGCAGTGTCCTCCATGAACCCCAGCGTGCTATCCTGCAGGTTGCGTTTTTAAACACCAGTGCCACCTAATCTTCTGCTAGTGCTGGTCCCACAACTGACTTACTGAGGTCCTCGGCTTTGCCTTCATCTTCGCTTCCACAGCTCCGGCAGAGCCTGCAAGGATGACACGACCATCAGTTCACAGTTGTCAAACGACCGAGCTGCCCACCTGGAAGTGGGTGATTCCCTGGCAGATCTGGGGTTTGCTTCTTTCACACAGCTTATCTCAAGGGGCAGACTCTGGTGACGTGGACGTGGCAGCATCTTCTGCCTTCTCCCTGCGCTCAGGGCTGCGTTAGGAGCCCGGGTCTTTAGGCTGAGGGTGCGTCTTGCTCTCCTAATCTGTGTCCCTGTCTGCTTTAGGGTTATTCAAGCAGAAGAAGACCCGACCCCCGTGGCCCCCTCCGCCGAGCCAAGGAGATGAGGACCCGTCCCCGTTCAACAAGGGAAACCGCTTTACTGAAGAGGCAAAGCATCTTCATCGCTCTAAAAGCATTGCTTAAATACACCTCCACGAAAAAGGTAAGGTAGAGGCTCCTGGGTGTTGCACCTGAGGGCTGTGCGTGGTGCAACCGGTGTTTGAAGCTCTTCTGCCCACGAAGGGTTTGCGCCGGTACGGCCCGGGGCTGGGCGGGCGCTGGTGCCAGCGCGGCTCCGGTTCGCCGCGGCGGCACACCCCGTCACCGCGGCCGCTCCCCTGCGCAAACCCTGTCAGCCTTTCCCGCTCGGCGGCCAAATGTCAGCGGATTCAAATCGCTGGCGGCGAACTCGGGCAGCCAGCTCTTTGCTCTTTCCATCGGCGCTGGGTCAGATGACAGACACCCCCCCCCAACCCCAGCCTCCGAGTATTATTATCGTTATTTATTTGTATCGTGGCAGTGCCTAGGAACATCCCCTGCCATGGACCAGGAGCCTTTCATGCTCCGTGCTAACGCAGCACAGGTTGTGACATGCATCCCCAGCGGCGTAAATATCAAGTGTCATTGCAATAACACCGTCCTCATCCCCTTGCTTCCACGTCAGCTTGGAGGTACCATCCAGCCATCACCACTAATACCTGCCTCGATTCTGGTTAAGCTGATGAGCCAAAACGGGGGGGAAGTGACTGCTCCTCGGGGCCACGTTGTAGAGCAGCCTGGGAGCAATGCGAAGCGTCGGTGGGCAGCACGGCCCCGCCGACCCTGACAAGCCGGAGAGCATCTCCAGAAAGCAGAGCTGCGCAAACAGGCTGGTTTGGTTAAAGCAACAAGTCTCCAATTAAGCATAACGGGAGGGAACTCTCCCTGGGTTTTGCTCCGCGAGGCCGGCTGTCTCAATTAACTGGCTCCCCTTACAGTGTTTTTCAACTGTACAGGGATGAGCCAAGGACACATGAACGTAACGTGATCCAGGAAGATTCCCCGAGTGCCAGGAAGTTGGAGCGCTGCTGCCTCTCCTCTTTATGGACGTGCGCAGCCCGGCCGCTCGCTGAGCGGGGCTCCTGCCAGCAAAGTTTGGAGGAGAGCTGCTCAGGCTCTCACGTGCTCACGGCCGCGCTAACGCTGCGATAGCTCCTTAACCAACGTGTCACCGAGCCCCTGCCGCGCCGGTACCACGGGGGCCTTCGTGCAATTGCCCGGAGAGGATATTGCAAAAAAAAAAATACCCAGTTTAGTGGTGACGGTGCAAAACCTCGAGTTTGTGGGCGGGGGGAAACACGCGAGCGATGCGCACAGCTCATCTCTGCGCGTGGCTTCTCTCCTGCCTCAGGCTCCCTGCAGCCAGGCTGCAGGACCTGGCTCCCCGGCCAGTGTCCCCAGCTCCGTGGAGATGATGGGTCGTGGTTGTGCCCAGGATCCCCGCCAGCTCCTTACCCCTTCGGGGGAGGCCGACCGGGCACAGGATGTGTTTTCTGGCCCTGCTATCGCTACGTCCCTCCCTGCTCCTCCTGCAGCCCTGGCCACATGCCGTGCTCTGCCGTTTTCTGTCCCTTGTGCCCTTGTTTTAGGGGCAAACAGTGGCAGCGGATGCTTCCTGGGACCTCTGGGCAGCCGTGGCCGCAGGACGAACCAGCAAGAGTAGGTAATTACGGGGTGATAACAAGACTTTTGAGGCTTTGCCTGAGGTCCCGTGATCCCTCTGCAGCTCAGCATTTCTTGGGACACCTCTCTCCCTGCTGATTTCCGACCACAAGTGCCCCGGCTGCTCGTGCTCGAGCAGGAGCAGCAGCAGCACCCGTGGCAGATGGAGCGGCCCGGGGAGCTGGCGGTTTTGAGGAGCGGCCAGTGTTAACCCCTGCCACGCCAGCAACTGCTCCGGCTTCGCCCCCGGTCGCGCGGTGTCCTGCCCAGCCCCGCGGGTGCGCGGGGGGCCCAGGTGGCACGGTGGGCATCATGTGAGGCAAGGAGCCGGGGGCTGACAGCGGCCCTGGGCCAAGTCGTTATGACCATCTGCTCTGTGCTGTGCCAGGCTGACGGCTGCTATAAAGAGCGTGCGTGCCGCAGGGCGCTGGGGATCTGGCAGTAACAGGAGCTGAAGGGCTTCAGAGAGGAGCTGACTCTGTCTTTTCAGCTCTGCCTTATGTATATTTATCTGTACGTACAAATAGAGCGAGCCGGCTGAGGTGGTTGGGTGTTGCTAAGCTGTGCTGGGCCACGCTGAGCCGGCTTCCAGCGTCCCAGCGCCTTCGGCTCCATCCAGCCGTGGAGAGGCTGCGGCCAGCGAGGCCGAAGGTTGGGGTTGCCGAAAGTGGGCAGCAGGACTTGATGGTTTCCTGTGCCTTGCTTGCAAGCCGGAGAAGGGGGGGATATTGGGGGTCCTTGCCTGCTCATGGCAGCGAGTAAAGCCAAGGACCGGGAGCCCTGAGGCATGTTGTGATGATGAGGAAGATCGGGGAGAGTAGGAGCAGACCCTGGCCTCTCACTTAGGGGAGCAGCAGTGAGCACCTCGGTCAGAAATGGGACTTTTATCTAAAATATACACCGTGGCGCTGCAGGAGAAAAGCAGGAAAGGGCTTTTGCTCAGTGCTAAAGAGCAGCCGTCAAACACCTGACTCTACATTTTGATTTCAGCCAACAAAATGAATGCGAGGCTTTCTCTGAACTTGGTTTTGATTGTTCAGGGGAATGTGTTATCGAAGGCAGAAACATGGCAAAAGGATTGAATAAGGACTGCTTGGGCATTGTGCACCCAGGGACATGGTGCAACATGGGGTTGTGCTTTGGAACCTCAGTATTAGGGAATTTTCTAATATTCTGTCTTTGAATCTTCGTCCTCTCCTTTCCTTGTAACTTGTAAAATGAACAAGGCCACTCCTAGCTCGGCAGAAAGAGATTTTCTTTGCAAGCCAGCTTAGACAAACTTCAGGACCTGCTTAGTGCTGGTTCTGGTCAGACTGAGCTTCAGAGAGAGACTAATTTCAACTGAGATTTAAAATCCTTCATGAATTGGCTGAAAAACAAGGATTATCAAAATGCATCAACGCTGAAAAGGACTATTTAAAAATAAATCGGCATTTACAATAACTGAATTTAGGGGACCAGAAATGTAAATGTGGGAAGGAAGGGGTGATGGTGGCTCCCTGCAATATTCCCTAAACCTAACAAGGTCTTTTATTCACATCCCAAAAGCACAGCAAGAGTCAAAGAAAAAGAAACCTGAATCTAGTTGACTTAAAGGTCATGAGACTTAGCGTCAGGATATTTGTGGGTCTCGTGATTTTTTAAATGTTAATACCGCAAGCCCTGCGCTAGGAAATTCACTGCTGCTAGTTAGCGGCTATGACTTGAAGACTCAAGTTGTTTCTGGTCTGCTTTAGTGGAGGTTTGATGACAGAGTTATCAAGTTCCCTGTAGGAAAGGTCTTTTATACAAGGCCCATGAGGAAGTGTGGAACTGGAGAGTCTGTTCCTCATTCCTATAACATTTCTGCTATTTGCTGACCAGCCCCCAAAAGTGTTTAGCTTTTTAGGATCTTGGCAGCTAAAGTCACCATTGCACCTCTTTTCTTCTCAGGGATCTCAGCACACCTTAAAGAGGTCATCTGAGCTCCTGCCTGCGTCTTGGAGAGTGAGGACCGAGGTCTGGGGGTGAAGCAACTCGTCAGCCTGCTGCGGAGCTGAGGTTAGAGGCACGTTTCTCTTTTGTACTTGATTTTCTGAGCCTGCCTCTTTTCTCCTTTCCCCAGCCCTGAATGTTACCCACACATCATCTTCAAGCTGTTGGTTGAAATATTTAATATTTGGCTTATACATAACGCTCAACAGGTACGCAGGGCAGCTCTTAAAAGGTCAAGTTTATCTAAATATATAATGCATATTAATAAAATAGATCAGTTTAGAATAAATGCTGAACCACTGTAAAATATGAGAAGGTTTTCTTAGTGTAAGTCATTTGAATGCTTTATAAGATTTTTCTGGCAATGTGTTGCTAGCAAGAAGTCAAAAATGAGTTGAAATTGTTGGTGCTCAAGCTGTGCCTTGGGCTATCAGACCCCAGCAATGCTCGCACGTTGCAGAGGCTCACGAGCTTCCAGCAAAACTCCTGCCCTGGTTCTCCCCCAGATTGTGCTGCTTAAAATGATAAAAGATCGTTACAGGGTCATCAAGAAACGTTGTAACTCACTGGGCTGGTAATATCAGAGCTGTTGTCTGTTTTAACTCTGACCCCATCAAGTAGTATTGACCGTGCTTTACAATAAAGGCGCAAGATACTGTAATTCTGCAGGATCTTGGCTCACAGAAACGCAATTTTTGTTTTTCCAGTAAGAGGTCCAAGCGTATTTCCAAATTAGACTAACAAACCGGCCTCGTTATTTCTACCGCAGTGCTGGCACAGTGTGGAGGAGCCCAAAAAGCAGCTGGGCGGCGAGGCGCCAGGCATGGGGTGCTGCGGTCAGAGCCACGGCCGGGCTGGCCGTGCCCATCAGCGTGGCCTCCAGCCTTGTGCCGAGGAGCCGGGGCAGGCAGCCTGCCAACGGAGCAGCACCTCTGGTTAAAGAAAGCTAAAAGCACCTTCTGCCTTTAAGTCATTTCATACAGACACGCGTGTGTGGGTGTACGGGTAGGGGCTAGCACGCTCCATCGTTGCATTATTGAAATTTTTTTCGCAGTTCTCATTTTGTTTACGGCCCGGCAACGCTCTCTGAGTTGGGAAGCATGAAGCTTCATGTGGAGCCCCTACTCCTCCCTCCCTGGCTTCATCCGCCTCATAGCACAGCCACAGCTCAACCCAGGCCCCCAAAAGCCACGTCCCGCGCGGGGAGGCTGCCGGCGGTGCCGTGACTGCCCACCACGCAGCGCCGTGGGGCTGCAGCAGGCACCGGGACGGGCGTGGGTATCCCCTGCCACGACGCTCCGGCCCTTCCACGAGCCCTCTCGCGTCTCTCCCTTTCCTGGGAAGGGCTCCAGCACGCACCAGTTGGCCCTGGGTGGTGATGCTTCTCCCCGGCACCTGGACGGGATGCTCACAGGGAGCCGGGGGCACGGCCCCCCCCGGCAGCACGTTTTCCCCTCGGCAGCTACTCACCGGGGCTGCTTGCTCTTGGGTGTTTTCCCACCCGGAGTTATACTCAGCGTATAAAAGAAAAGGAGGTGAAACACAATTACAGTGTCAGCAGAAGGGCTGTGATTCACGGGGTCAATGACATCACGGGGCTGGATGCTCCCTGATTGACTCCCTTTTCAGCAGAAATTACTGAGGATGCCAGTTCGTTGGGAAAAAGGCATCCTCAGTAACTCAGTTACTTAGAAACGAATACCGATGATTAAGTGTTGCCTTATATTACTTAGATGAGGTGAATTCTTGTTCTGCGCTTAAATATAGAAGGGCAAGTGCTCAGCTGGTATAAACACATCTGCCTCAGAGTAAATTAATCGCCATCAGTCAGGGGAGCTGTGATATTTACACCAGTGGTTTACTAACCTTTAATGCATACGTGCAGCCAGGAAGCCTCTCCGGTGATTGCCCACATTATGCTTGGTGCCTGCCAGTCCTTTACCACCACAAACACCTAATTAATTCCCATGCTTTTAAGGAAATGAAGCCATACAGAAATATGCCACCAGCAACAAATTACACGGTACTGATGCCACCAATTAATGCTGCAGGAAATAATACTATATTTCAGATGCTGAATGGTTTTCTTTTCTCCTAAATTAATTTGTCACCGGACAATAAAATAAGGCTACTGTCCTGCCTGGAAGTTGCTAAATTAACATTCAGACAACGTCCGAAGTGGTAGAAGGGGAAAAAATATAAGGGGCACAGGTCTTTATTTCCCCCCTCCTCTTGTTTTCATTATGTCTGAGAGCAAGCAGCCCAATAAGCATCTAAGTCTGCTCTACCACCGAGGGGTTGCGGTGACTGTCCCAGTGCTCCCAGTTTGCACCAGCACACCTCACATCCCCGTGCTCCCGTCTCGCCTCTCCGGGGAGCCAATGTTGCTCGCAGCACGATGTATACCGCAATATTTTCTAAAAACCAGTGGCTGCTCTGTCCCTCACACAAGGAGCCTGCGGGGTTTGTTGTTTACCTCCTTGCCCAGGTGATGCAGAAGCTTCTGACGTTTCCCATGCGAGCGAGACCTCTGGGCTGCTGGGACTCCGTGAGACGAGTCACAGCTTCCCTTTCCTCGGAGTAGGTAGGATGAGTTATAGCAAAAGGAGGATACGAGATGAAGTACGTACTCCTGCCGGGGCTGATCTTTGTACCCGTGAGCTGGAGTCACAGTGGCAGTACCATTTACGCGAGCTTGCAAAGGAGAAGGTCCCTTTACCCAGCCAGCAGTGGCACCCAGGCACAAGCTGAGACTTTTTTTTTTCGACTGAAAGCACACGTGTGAACGCATCAGGGAGTATCAGTGTGTGCAGGTGCCACAGAGCACAGAGAGGCGTCAGGGAAACGAGGTGGGGCAGGTAACCTGCTCCTTCCCGGCAGGCCCGGGCGGGCGCAGAAATGGAAAACAAAAGGGAAAGCAGGTTTGCTGGGTGGTGGCACCTGCAGTTGTGCAGGGAGGAGGTGTTTACCCATGTAGGCTGTGGTGGCCTTGAAAGCACCCTTGGGTGAACAGCAGGGTGCTCCACGCAAACACCCTGGGACTGCTGCTCCAGGAATACTGATAGGATTAAAAAAGAAATTAATCTCGCTTCAATCAGGCAACAGAGATGGGAGGCAGCACCGGTTTAGAAGGGCTGGCATGCAGAATGTAGCCCACCTCTGTTTGCAAGGATTAGCTCAAAACCAGCCAGGTATCATTGTCGATATTTTTATTTATTTATGTATTATTTGGAACCTTTCTCAGAGTATAATTAAGAAAAAGCAGAGTCTTGAGATGCCCACTGCTCCCTCTGGGTTGCAGCGTGGCTCTGATGGGTGCCGGGTGGTGGTCGGCGTGCGAGTGGCTGAGTGGGTGCTGGCACCGTTCTTGTAGGGCCATCAGAAATGGTCCCCGGGCAGTCAGCGGGGGAATCAGCTCTCACCAGGGGACAAAGGCGGCCTAGAACAGAAACTGGGCATCCAGCGGATCGGCAGGAGGAGAGAGCTGGCTGGTACAACAGCTCTTTAGCGGAGGCTGCCACGTCCGTGGCTCCCGGGCGGCGTGGGCAGCGCTGCAGGTGAAGGCAGGCTGCACCCCGCTATGTTGGGCACGTCAGCACGTGCTGCTGGCCCAAATGCAGAAGAGCTCAGCTGAAGAAATGCAAAACTAAGCCCGTTTCTGAGCCTACAAACCAGCTCTGAGAGCAAAGGCAGCAACTCCTACGATGTGTTTTAAAAGCCGGTGGCGTGCAGCAGCTCCTTAAATCAGAAGCGGTAGCGCTTCCCCCGGCTCTCCCCAGTCTTAATGCTCTGTCCTGCCCAGAAATAAAGTTAGTTAAAAAGAGATTTTCTTTAAATACCACAGACTGCCATCCGGAGAGGACAGCCGTTGACAGGGCGTGTTCTCACAGGGCTCTCGGTGGCTTGGATGCCTGGAAGGAGCATTATGCGGTGCCATCGGGGTGATCCACCAGCCACCGAAACTCCGCCTGCCCTAATGAGAAATGAATTTGATAATGTGGAAAATCTGGGCATTATTGCAAAGTTAGATCAGTCTCCAACCGGATTAATTCGCTGCTGGTAGCTGGAAAAATTAATCAAGTGCAGATCTGTATCAATCTAGGTGATTTTCCGTAAAGCCGTAAAGTACGAACGTTATCCGTCAAAAACTGTTGGAATAGCAGCTGAGGCTCAGACCCGCGAGAGGCTTTGTGCGCTGGGATGCTGACTGTTGCGGTGCACCCCTGGAGTGTGTTGGAAAGGGGCTGGGGGGGATGTTTGGGCTTCCAGCCCCTCCGCCAAGGCTGGCTGGATGTTCGGCCGGGTCCCCGCCAGCGCCGGGTGGCCCCACTCTCGTGGCAGTGACTTTCTCACCCGTGAAGCGGAGCAGCGTCGTGGGCTTGGCTGGCTGTGCCTTTCTCCTGCTGTGCCTTACAGCCTCGGCAGCTTTGCCGTGCTGTCCTGGACATGGAGCTGTACGTTTAAATCCCTGTGGGTACCGAAAGCACCAACACCCCCAGTACCAGCTTCAGGACGCGGCTTTCAGAAAATAAAGCTACATGAGTTGAGCTCTGACTTCGTGACTGCAGTGAACGCACTGGCAATCTATTAAGCGCACTTCTGGGGAATAATTTCTTAGCTTCTAGCAGACTGATCACAGATGAGTTTTCAATATGGGCTAGAGACTTAAAAAAATGCACAAGTGAAACTGTTTTTATTTTTGCCTGGCAAGAAGAAAGCGTCCAAAAGTTAAACTGGCCTTGACTTGTGTTAAGAGGAGTTATCTGTGCTGACCATAAATTGAACTGGGACGGCTTAATTGCTCATTCGCAGTAAATAAAGCTATAACTGAGATGTCTACTTTATAATATAGAGGGGATCTCCCAGGCTATGGAGGATGATAGCTAGCCAGAGAAATCCATTCAAAGGCTCTTTGGGATCGATAAGCAGTTAAGAGAGCCGGGGGAAAATGACATTGCCTGTCTTTGTGCACAGACACCCAGAGAGGTGCCGGGCTGTTAAAAGCACGAAGGACAATGCTTGGGCTCGGATCCATCAGGTTTAAAACACGGTGATTTCTAGCTAAGTTTCCTCTTGGTGTCCAAATACGGAGAGGTGGGAGCATCCTGTACACTGGAGTAAATGGCTGGGGACCCATCGGCTTCGGTAGCAGCGCTCCTCACCCTGGGATGGTGTCTGAAGCCAGGGTGATGGGCTCAGCCACCCCGTTTATTAATATTAGTGAGGGCTCTGTGGCTTGGAGGGCACCCGAGGCCAGGCCGGCACTCGCAGGCATGTTGCAGCACGTGCTGGTAGCCACCCCGGGGCTGCCTGACTCGGGCTGGAGCGAAGTCACAGTGGAGGGAGCAGTTAAGAGGCTCAGAGCTGGTTTTAGCTGAAGACTTTGGAGCGGGACCGTGCCAGGAGAGCGGCGCGGGAAGTGTCTCTTCACACACAAATATACCGCTGGTGGGGTGGTTGGTGCTCTCGGCGTTTTGCTAGGCAGACTGTGCCATTTCTCTTGTCCCGGGGGCAGTTGGTGTCTGCCGTCAGTTATAGGAAACGTAAATGGCAATGACCGGCTCATCCCTGGTAATTTACTTCAGAATTCTGTTCTGAAGAAGTAAGATCAATTGCCACTTAGCTTCCAGCTCCTGCCCTGCCCGTCTTTTAAAAGGGAAATATTACAGCTGCCTTCTAGCCCCACCACTCCTCACTGGGCCCACGTTTAATTATTAATCCCCTCTAAGGCATGGGAGAGCCAGTGGGACTGCAACAGGGACTGGACCGAGCTGCGGCCCCTCCAGCCCCAAATCCAAATGGGATTCAGAACAGACTGGGAAAAACTGAACCCTGAAGCGATCGCTGCTGTAACTCTGCTTAGTGATACGCAGGGGATTCACCCGGAATCTCTCCCCTCGGGTTCACGCACCTCCCTTGCTCTTGTAACGCGGGATGCTGGTCTCCACGGGTGGTATCAGCCTCCTGCCAGCCACAGGAGCAGTTAGAAAACCTTTCTGTCCTCTGAAATAGGTCCTTTTAGAAAGAGGAAAGTTCTCCCCGCTGGTTTTGGAGCAGAGGTACCCAGCGCCATGGTTTGCCAGCAAACGCTTGGGAAGGCTTGGGCTCAGGTCGTGGTGCGGTAAATGATACGTTGCGTTCTCCCGAGTGAACGTGTGAGAAAACGGACCGGATCACAACCGCTTCACAAGGACAGAAAGATGGGAGGCTCACTAGAGCTGTTATTTCCAATGACTGATTTGCTTGGCCTTATTTAATTAGCTGTCCTTGAGCCAATCTGCTTAAGTGACAGTGAGTTTACCCCGATGCAAAGCACAGACTCATAAAGCTAGGCCTGGATGAGGCGTCCGGTGCACCAAGGCACCACCAGCTTCTGTCTTGATTATTTCCAGCAGATAGCTGTCTGATCTGGTTTCAGAAATGCTAATGATAATGATTTTTTGGGGGGAAGGTGGGGTACACCAAGCTAGGTTCTTGGAGATCTGGGCTGTTCAAGCTGGACGAGCTTAATGGTAGAGTTTGAAATACAAATCAAAGACAAATCAGAAGTGTGCTCAATGAGCTTGGCTGGGGTTTGTCTGTTTAGCTGCACCAGCAGAAACATTTTTAATTTTTTTTTTTTTTTTTTTTTTATCTCCTGAAAGGCTCTTATATGCATTTGAGCAAGTCGTAGTGCCATGTTTCTCAAAAAAATGGGAAAGCTGAGCTGGGCAAAAAAATACCACCTAGCTAACCGTGTGCTATAGGGAAGCTGCCTGGAGATTGAGGCGTTTGTTTTGCGGACTGAAATATTGACCGAGGAGAAGAGTGTGCTGTGCCCACGAAGAGGGAGCGGGGTGCCTGGGCTCGGTGCTGTGCCGCTGTCTGGCTCTTCCTGGGGAGGAAAGGGGGAGAGGCTTTGCTGGGTGCATCGCTGGGAAGAGGGACTGGATTAGTATTTAGCCATTTCTACTCGGTTTTCCCTTGAACTTGAAAGAGATAGGAGTATAAAGGACAAGGGCTGGGCAGCTGCAAGCCAGGGGGCACGAATGGACTTTGTGTCCCGGGGTAACAGCATCTCACCCGTGGGGTTCGTTAGCAGGACTGTCCACGCCTTGGCTGTCTCCACTTCCTAGAAGGCGTAGGAGCAGAAGTCCCCTGAGACATCCCCCGCTCCGGCCTGGCTAAAATTAACCAACAGGCTCTGAAACTGTGCGGTAGGGAGGGGGGCATGGATGCAGATGGGCTTCCTTTCCTCAGGGAGGCCAGCTGCAAAAGCTGCCATCCGGAAGAATAAAGTACCTGCTTCGCCCTTTGCCATCTGAAATGTTTTCCCCCTCGTGGCATCCATTAAAATGGAACTTTAACTGTTTAAAGTGATCCTGCCCTTACCTCTGTGGCCTTATTTGGATCTGCACGCTGCCTCGCATCCCTTCCTCCCTCCCCGCGCTGCCTCGGTGCCCTCTGCGCCGGCGGCCGGTGCCAGCCCTGTCACAGCGGCACGTAGCGCCGTGATGTTGCACATGTACAGGTGGCGTTTCCAAAAGCATCCCTGGGGACGGGTGCTCGGGTCCTGGGCTGCCAGCGAGGACGGCACCGGCCGTCCCATGGGAGCATCGGGCTACCATCCCCTAGAATATAACCCCTTCACAGCATCACCCTCCAGTGCTCTCCTGCCAAAATCCCTTCTTTGCCCTCACTCCTCCTCTGCTTTGGCCTCAGGATTATGTTGTGGATTTGGGTTTTGGGTTTTTTTTGTTTTTTTTTGTTTTTTTTTTTTTTCCAGAAATAACAGATGCTGAAATATCCTCGGGCTTGGAGGCATTGCACAAACACGTGTGAGCTGGGAGAGGGATGGGAGCTTTTTACCTGCCCTTGGCCACAACATAAAACGTACTGCAGGCACTAAAAAGCTAAGGCAAGGGTATTGCTGAAGCCTGCAGTGGCACAGGAATCGCTCTCCAAATTCAAGATGTTCTCTGTATTTATTTTTCCTTCTGGCTCCCTTTGCTGACAGCGAACAACCCATGGCTTTGGGCAGCCAGTGCCTGCGCTACATATTTTTGTTCATCCGTCCCTCCCTGCCAAATGCTGAAGTCAGACAACTGGCCCCGGCTGGTGCCAGCTCTGGTTGCTCACACTGGGATTAGCACGTAAACTGGTTCGGTCCCACTGCGGAGGCCGAGCGTGGCCTTCTCTTTTACCCTGCTGGCTGCAGTTGCCTCTGTAAAAGATGTCTGTTATGACTTTGCTTTTGACTTTCTGCAAGAGGCCATTGTAATTAAGGTTTTTTTCCCTGTTTTTTGCAGGTGTGTTTTCACCCTGTGTGCGCATGGGAGAGCGTGAACGCCTCTTGGTCCTTCATGTCTCAGGCTGGCCCCAAGCTCGGTCCCCGGGCTGGACACCTCTTTAGGAGGGATTAAGGGGAAGTATCAGACCCGGGGATCTCCAGGAAACCAAGGAGCAGTCTCCAAAGCACTGGGAGATCGTCCCCGAGACGGCAAAGGCGACTGAACTTCTCAGTTACAAGCAAAGCTGCTCTGGTGCGCTCTTTTGCTTGCAGCATTCACCCTCTCCCCAGGACTCTGCAAACAAAATGAAAATAAGCTGAAAAAAAATCAAATAGAGTGTCTTTTAAAAATGGTTATCTAAGTGTTCAGCCTCTCGGTTCGCTCAGAGCAATTATGGAGGGATTAGCTGAAGGGATGGGGTTGCATTTTGCTTTTTAATCAGTGGAGGGAAGGGCAGAGCCCGGGCAGCCGCTGGGACGGTGCCGGGCAGGAGCCCTCTCGCTGTCGCAGGGGCGGCCCTCGCGCACGCGCGCTCAGCCCCATCCTGGTACAACCAGGATCAACCCTGCTCAGCCTACACAAGTAGCTCGGTCCTCCTTAACGCTTCAGAAAGCCGCCCTGTTCTCCTGTGTCTCTGAGCTGAACTGGCTCCCAGGAGCTGGGGGATGCTCAGGCTTTCACTCAGTGGCTAGCAAAGGGCTGGGCGTGAGGCTCAGCGCCACGCGGCTCCGGCAAAGCACCGCCTGCTTCAACACATCTCCTCTCTTTCCTCCTCTCTCTGAGCCCTATTTACGCTTTGATTTAGCCTGAATACGTGCCTCCCGTTTGAATTTCTTTATGAAGACGAACTTCAGCAAGAGGCCCTGAACTGGGAACCGGGCAGATGACGGCAGAAAACAGTAAAACCAATACAGAGATCCTGGGCCACCTCATCAAATAGCAGAAGCTGGCGTAGGGGTATTGATTTCAGCAGAGCTGTGCCAGTTTGCACAAGTTAGGGCTCTGACCTAAGTAATTCACCGTAATAAAGATATCCAGATGCTGGAAAACTTCCAGGGAAACTGTCTCCTTTGATCAGGTTGGTTATCAATATATATACATATCGATATATATGCATTAACACCCTGTGGGGCTGTGAAATCCCATACATAAGGCAAGTTATAGCTAGATTTCAGCTGCACTGGGTGGTTACCTGCACAACCTGCCAGAGCAAGGTGCTGTCCCGGGCAGGAGTGAACGCTATTCCTGTTCCCCGGCGGACAGGGAAACTTGATCTTTGCTCTTCCCGTCACTCCGGAGTGTGACTGGGAGGTGGCTGGGGCACGGGGTGGGGGGGCCGAGGCACTGGGTTTCTGTGAACCCGCTGGTAGAGGCGGCACGAGGGGGATCATCGGGGCGGGAGTGTGGCCGTGGGGAATGCGCAGACTCAGTCCTGCCCGGGGAACTCGTCCTCAGAAGAGCCGGGGGGATGCTGCTGGCGAGGAGGAGGCTCGTTTCGGGGTCCCCGGGGTTGTAACCCTGCCTGCCTGTTGCTCAGGCGGGGTGTTCTCTTATTGCAGGGAGCTGGTCAGAGCCTGTCTGCGGCTCGCTGGGGGATCCCAGCGCCTCAGTGTGGCACCGCGCAGAGATACTGGTTATGCTGGTCCTGCCTGGGGTGACCGCGGATGCTGCGCCCTCCATCCCCTCCCCAGCTCCCGGCTCAGGGCACCCCAGGCGACGCTCTCGTGGCGTGTGCAGGACCTGGGAGCAGCCTGGGAGTCCCAGGACTATCCTCTGAAGCCTCTTCAGGTTTGGCTGCCAACAAAATAAAGCCAGGTCTAAGGCTTTATGTTTCCCGTGCTTCAGACGAGTCCCTGCAAGCACTGAGCAGGGTGCTCGGAGGCCACCCGAGCAGCTATGATTTCCTTCCACAGAATATTGCATTTATTTTGAACCGTCTTCTTGCTACTTTTTACGTAAAGCCCCATCCCCTCAGAGTAAAGCGTCTGCTTAGGTCTAATTTCTTTCGATGGGACTTCAGCATGTGCTCGAGTACTTTGCTGATTTGGGGCCCGAGTCATTAGCTTTACAGTTGATTACTCAAGTGGATTTGGGGTGGGGGACTGGGAATGCTAACATCCAGCGAGAAGAGTTGAGCCAAGGCTGGAATCCCTACCAACCTCAAAGTATTAGCGCGGTCCCATCACGACTGTTGGTCAGCCCTGGGTCCCGGCGTTGCTTCTCACCTCCTGCATCTCCCCGCGGCACACGGGTGTCCTCCCGGTCCCCGCCGCAGCGCCTGGTCTCGGCAGCAGCCTCCCCCTGCTCCGTTTAACAGTTTAATGGCGTTTGTCAGCTTTAAAATTACAGTCTTAGCGGCTTCACCCACAACAGAGAGGCGAGCGCTGCAGAGCTGATTGCGTGCACTAGAGGAGCTGATTACCTTCTCAGTGTTTCAGATCATCAGAAATGCAAACAAGCTGGCACTGTAAATATACATACATTTTAAGGCAACCAGATCAGCAGTGCATGCATGCTCTCAGGCCCTCACCAATTACCCAAATTGGTACGTTCCACTCATTGCATCGGCATATTCGCATATAATATATCATAGAAAAATCAACGGCTCACAGCTAAGGTTGTCTGTTGTACTGTGGTTCTCAACGTGGTGATTTTTTTTTTTTTTTTTCTTAAGAAGCAAGTAGATTATTTTGTACGTACATTTATGAAGTTTGTAAAATTGTAGGTACGGCTAGGGCTGGTGTGTGTCAGCCCCGAGGTGCGGCAGCATCGTGCCTGCCCCCGTGTTCTGGCATGCGTTGGCCTGGCTCGCTGGTGGCGAGAGGCAGCAAAAGGGTTTTTTTATAAAACCAGTGATTGATGGATGATTTACAACCAACTGTGGGGGCTTGGATTCCGGCAAAATGTCAACATTTAGTGCAAACGGGGGGAAAAAAACCCATGTATTTTCGTCCCAGCACTCCCAGTTCAGTCTAGTCTGCGTGCTGCAGCCTCCGGCTGCCAGCCACGTGGGCTGGAGCAGAAGAAGTGGGGCAGAGCCTGTGTTTTACACCGCTGCTGGGGCCTGGGCACGCTCTGCAAGTAGGCACACTACGAGCAGAGTGCAGGGCACGCTTACTTATAGATGAGAAATGTCTCTGCACAGCGTCTCCCCTCTTGAGCTTCCAAGCCAGCACATCTCGCATTCTTCATCTTCTTTTCTCCCAGTTGTGGCCCTTGCACAAAAGGAACGATGGAATGGTTAAAAAAAAAAGAAAAAGAAGGAATTCCAGCAAACAGTTTGAGTGTGAGTGATTTTAAAGATTTTTCCGAATTATTTAGAGATGAAGGGAATGAACTAAAGGGAACACGGAATAGCCTCAAAAGGGGTCAGTATTTTGCTTCATACACACAGGGACACACACACACACGCACAAACCTGCACAGATGTTCTGACCTTTGCAAAAAGCCAAACAGACACAGAAATCGGCTAATCTGAAATGAAGGGATGATTTCGCTCTCGCCAAAGAGGCTGAAAAGCACTGCTTTGCTCAAGCTGTTATCTCTTCTCCCTCTCCCGGGTCTCGCTCTCGTGTCGTACTGTCTCCGCACCCTGGCACGAGGAGCATCGCACCTGTAATCTGGAGATAACCTTTGCGCCTCCGGCTGTGTCTGCCCGTCCAGCCCGGGGGATCTTTGTCCCCGCTTCTTCCTTTAGCATTTAGGATTACTGCTCTCACCGTGCTGGCACGACCCGAGCATGTTTTTGGGCATATAGACTCCTACAGATTAAACGCCTGTGATGACACATTCTTCACTCTACGTCTTCCTTTTTCTATGTACGTGCTTCTCTGACAGAAGCGGACACGCACCTCACCCCACGTCCCCGTGCTGTAACTCGGGGGGTTTTGCGGGGAGCTGGTGAGGCTCAGGGCGGGCTTTGAGCAGCTCCAGTGCTGGCTTTTGCTCCCCCCTGGGAGGGCACCAGAGTCCCCTCCCCACCTCCATGCTGGGCACAGGGTGCTCCCCAGCGCAGCGGCGGTGGCTTTGTGAGAGGCTGAAATGTGAACAATAACCCCCCCGAAGCAAGGAGGCAGGAGACGGAAAGAAACTTTGATGAGAGAAATGAAAAGGCAGGGAGAGGAAGGGAGGCGTAGCGTGATGTCGCCAGGAGATGAAGCTCCCAAAGAGAAAGTGGGAGCAATACTATGGGTGAGTGGAAGTTTCTGGGTTTTGAGGAGGTACGGATGGATGGGAGCAGCGAAGGAGCTGGTGGTAGCCCCGTGGCCGCCTGGCTCCGTTGACAGTGTGGAGCAGTTTGTGTCGGGAGCATGTCATGACCTATCAACCCAGCCCAGTCTCCCTTCCTGCTGCTTTCCGAGCATCTTCCTCAGCTGGGACAGCCCAGGAGCTCCTCCGCAGCTGGGCAGTCTCGGAGAGCTGTCCCCTGGTGAGGGAGAGCTGAAGGGGGGGGTGATGCGGAGAAGGTTTTGCTCACTGCCTGTGGGCTGCAACCCAGCTGGGCTCTCCAGTCCAGCTGCAGAGGAGCCCTGCTAGGAAGAAATGAGTCCCAGATGGGATGTGGTCACGGGGTAAGTAGGGACCCAGGTGCATGGCAGGAGGCTCGGCTCTTTCACTGCACGGAAAATGCCTGAAGGGGACAGGCAGGCTTGCTGCTGGCCGGCGCTAACTCCTGGCACCCTGGCAGAGGCTGTGGATGGGTGAAATGCTTATTTTTCCCTCTGGCAAAGTAAGGGCCGTTTGTTCCTTCCATCAGAGTGGTGGCTTGACCTAAGCACCCCTGCCTTGTCACCCTGAGACTGAGTTACAGGACTGAGCTGTATGGGAGCTGTGGTGTGGGACCGTTTTGGCGATGGAAGGTAAGTGCAGCCCCTTGCTTGCAAAGAGGAACCGGTGTGTCAGTGGTGTGCTGGACCCAATATCCCATAGCCTGAACTGACTGTCAGCGAGCTTTTGGGGTGTCATAGCCCTCCCTTGGCGGGGAGAGGAGGGAGCAGTTGGCTGTCCTCTGCCACGTGTCCTTCGTTTCTCCTCTTTGATCTCCCCAATCCCAGAATTTTTACCTTTCATCTGCTTCCACTTGGTTTTGGGAGTGATC